CATCCCCACACGTTCTCTTTTATATTTAAGTCCGGAGAGTACGGCGGCCACTCCAGGACATCAACGTTTTAGCCCTGTATCTACGATTTTACAGATCGGGCAGTGTGGATTGGAGCGTTGTCGTGTTGAAAACGCCATTTAAGATTTCCAAAAGATTATTATACGCCACGGCGTTCATTTTCGGGGTGAGAAATTGTATGTAAGCGATCTAAAATATGCTCTTCTTTACGCATGTCATGGAAATAATAATTATAGCCGTCAGGGCCTTCTAAATTAAATTTTTTTTCATCGGAAAAGACTACAAAGCGCTTCTCCTTCGACCATGTCGTATGCGAGCGAGCAAAATTTAGGCGCATTTCCTTTCGTAACTTATTTAGTTGTGGTTATACCCGTTACTCGTAGAGTAAAAGGGTATACAAGATTCGTCGGAAAGTATGTATCAGGCAGAAGGAAGCGTTTCCGACCCCATAAAGTATATATATTCTTGATCAGGATCACTAGCCGAGTCGATCTAGCCATGTCCGTCTGTCCTTCTGTCCGGATGAACGCTGAGATCTCGGAAACTATGAGAGCTAGGCTATTGAGATTTGGCGTACAGATTCCTGAGCTTCTTACGCAGCGCAAGTTTGTTTCAGTAGACTGCCACGCCCACTCTAACGCCCACAAACCGCCCTAAAATGTAACTCCTACAGTTTTGATGCTAGATAGAAAATTTTAACTGAAATGTATTAGTCTTGTCAATACCTATCGATTGACCAAAAAAAAAATTTTGCTACGCCCACTCTAACGCCCACAAACCTCCAAAGAAAAAAGCTATGACGTCAGAGCCAGACAATGCGAAATGTTTTTACGCGTGTATGTGTGTGTATGTAAATAGTTGCCGGCCGAACTTAGCGGCAAAGAAAAAAGCCCTGCCGGCGCTCAGAGAGAGCAAAGTGCGCCGAGAAATGAGAGCAAGGGAGAGAGAACAAAGTGCTCGGCTAACTTATTTTAAAGTTTGTTATCTGAGTAACGGGTATCTGATAGTCGAGGTACTCGACTATAGCGTTCTTCCTTGTTTTTTTTTTAGTTTTAGTCTTTTCAAGTGTTCTGCTTTTTTTATGACTCGTAATACCGTGGACTTGCTAGCTTCCACACCGCTTTTTTCTTTAATTTTGGTAAAAGAGTCGTGTGAATTAGACGCATGTCTAACTATAGACTGAATGTCTGCTTCGGAAAGAACTCTGTTGTTACCGCCTTTCATATTTTTACCATAGCCTTGTTTATTTTTAAGAAAATTGGCTATAGTTTTCGATGCCTTCCCATTTTTTCAGCAATTTTATGTTAAGATAAGCCACTTTCACTAAAGGCTTCGATCTTAGATTTTTCTTCTAAAGATAGGACAGTTCCGTTACCCATTTTTATTCTCAGTTTATAAACAATAATTGAATAATTGTCACAGCACAAAAAATTTCACAACTGTACGCCAAAAATTACGCGAGATAACTAAATTTGAATTTACAGGCGCTAATCTGATGACGCAAAATCAGTGCAAGCTTTTGCAGCGAAAGTAAAACAAAATAAAGAAAAAATAGATAACGGAATCTCTCACCTAACGGTATTTCTCTCAGAGAGCGACAATTTGTGCACTTTAAGAGCAACAACAAAAATTTTGAAGTTGCGTGCAATAGAAACAGAGATAGATGCAATAAAGTAAAACCAAAAGGGGGGCGCTAATCTGATGACGCGCAGTGTATCTTGGTCTGTCAAATACTTTAGATTTTTGAATTTATTCGTAAATGTTGTTAATGTTATTCATAAACAACTAGTTTGATATGATTAATTTTGATTTGATTTTTTTTTTTTTGTTTTTGACCAATTATTATTATATTTGACATATAATTTCCTGCCTATTTTGTGTATGGTTTTCAGGCCATACTCTAATCGGGCCACTTTTATGTCGCTCAATTTTTACATTTGTTTTTATAAAATAAATGAAACAAGGAAGAACGCTATAGTCGAGTACCTCGACTATCAGATACCCGTTACTCAAAGCGAAATGGAGATATGCAAGCAGCAAAGCGAAATTAAAATGCGCTACCTAGATTTAAGCGTTATGGGCGTTAGAGTGGGCGTGGCAAAATTATTTTTGGATCAATCGATAGGTATTGACGACACCAATACATTTCAGTTAAAATTTTTTATCTAGCATGCAAATTGTGGGCGTCACAGGTTTTCGCGGTTTGTGGGCGTTTAAGTGGGCGTGGCAAACTTTTTTTTAGGTCAATCGATAGGTATTGATGAGAACAATACATTTCAGTTAAAATTTTCTATTTAGCATCAAAACTGTAGGAGTTACAGTTTTGGGCGGTTTGTGGGCGTTAGAGTAGGCGTGGCAGTCTACTGAAACAAACTTGCGCTGCGTAAGAAGCTCAGGAATCTGTACGCCAAATCTCAATAGCCTAGCTCTCATAGTTTCCGAGATCTCAGCGTTCATCCGGACGGACAGACAGACGGACAGACGGACAGACGGACATGGCTAGATCGACTCGGCTAGTGATCCTGATCAAGAATATATATACTTTATGGGGTCGGAAACGCTTCCTTCTGCCTGTTACATACTTTCCGACGAATCTAGTATACCCTTTTACTCTACCAGAAAACGACATACATACATACATATGTATACATGCATGTGTGTGGGTGTAAAAAATTACAATCTAATATCCGCGGCAAATAGAATTCTTTCAAACAAAGCTATTCAACCAAATATTTTGAAGTACAGAATGTGCCTTAAAATTGTGTATGTTTAGCAAGCATACATAAATATAAATGTTATTTGTCTATTTTATGTGTTGCTTTCTCATTCTTGGCGCTGGCTGAAACAAAAGCAGAGCCGAGAAATGAGAGCAAGGGAGAGAGAACAAAGTGCGCGGCTAACTTATCTTATCTGAGAAACAGGTATCTGATAGTCGAGGTACTCGACTATAGCGTTCTTCCTTGTTTTAATATTCTTTATTTTGTATTTGGTATTTGTATTTGGGAGCAGCGTTAATGCCGCTTCCAACGTCAAGTTGTTTCTGATTTTACAATTTGCCTTAGGATCTAAGTAAGCCAAAGTCTTGTAGCTGCGCTGCCTACAGTTGGGCGGCAGAGAGACGGCTATGTATATCTTATGTATATTAGTGTATTTAACTATGCTCTCTTTAGCTGGAGCGCGAGGGTATATGTATGTACTTGAGTTTGGCTGAGCGGCCGGCGTATGCAACAGAATGCTGACACTTGCACTTTCTGTGAGCGCACCGATCGACTCATGTTTCGGCCACTTAGGTTTTTGACCGAGCCTTTGTTTATATAAACACTGCAACAAAGTGTTACAGTGTGTTTGATTCAAGTACTCTTGGTACAGTAGATATTCGATATAAGTGCATACTACAATGGATCGCATGATGGAAATGAAAATGAGGTGGATGTTGCGGATAAGTCATGGTTCGAAGATTCGGACTCAAATTTAAAAATCGAGAACACTTTGACAAATAATGATCCCGTGCATCGCAAGATAAACATATCAAATGATTTGAGATAGTAGCAGAAGCAATAAGTGTGTTTTGGTTATATTTGTGTAAGTTTTTTCCCCACCTGCTGGCTTGGTGTTTGAGTTACCAAGGTTTGATCCAAGTTTTCCATCATCCTGCACCTCTTTTCCAAAAACGACTCCATAGCACATCAGGTAGACAGCTCAGTGATTGACAAATCCTCTTTCCATATTTCCCCCGTCCTCTGATCCAGTTACCGAGTGACGATGTGAATTAAAAGTCCATCCAAAATTTTTTGCGTATTGGCCAGGGTTCGAATTGCTCGCAGATGCGAATTCATGCAATCACTCAGCTCCCGAAGACCCTTCGAAGATCCCTTCTCGACACCCTTTAAACCGAATATTGCCTGAACGTGTGCCTGAAAGTGTAAAACATTATTATAAAATCGATTACCCAGCAAATTCATAGCCTTTTATAATTAGCATTCGAGGGTTCAAGCGAGCGTATGGTTTCCAGAGCCACGCCGCCCAAACTCGAACGCAAATATTGTAATTTTTCAATGTCGCTTAGCTCATCATCATTTCCGATGACCGTAGTGAAAGTCGCAAGGAAATCCGGCCACTCAGAGTAGGATCCATAAAAACGAGCAATTTCCAAATTTGGCAACCAAGGCTTCCTAGATCGAAAAGAAAGATCCGCATTATTAGTGATGTCAATAGATGTTGAATTTGCAGCGGTTGAAGCCGGCAATTGTGACTTTCGATGAGCAGTCAAGCCTCGGCTTAGTTTCGCCTTCACATCCATGAAAACCTCGGCAAATTCAATCCGATGGTCGCTCGAGATCTCTGCAAAATCCAGTCTTTCCAACGATGTCTGCGCAGAATCAAATGCCTGGTTTAAGGAATTGATCCATTCCATTCGCGCAAGCAAATCAGCTTCGTCAAACTGATTAACCGCATCAGCGTTTAAATAACATTTCATCGAGCTCATTTGCCGCAAAATAGATTGGGCTTTGACTCGGTAGTAGTCGACGTCACTTGTGGATTCATTTTGAGCCCGAACCGAGTTTTCCCTATCAGACATTTTTCAATCACGAGAAAAGGGGAAGACAACAAATATGCCACCCATATATTTATAATTAATAACGCACGAATAGGTTATATTAAAATTTATGGCGTTATTCGGAGCGGCAGACGGACTGTGTAAAAGCTCGGCTCCAAGAACTTCATATAGACATTTACAGGCTTACAAAGTAGTTGCTGAATAGATAAGCGACAGCTTAAGTGTTATAAGAAAGAAGGCGACAAAGATAAGCAGAGAGCGCTGCAGGTGTCGTCGTACACCTATGCGCGCATGACTAGGAGCTGTCGATCTGCTCCGAACAGACGCAATGGAAAATTTTCAACATACATATACATGCTCCTTGGGCAGAAGCCTTAAGATTTCAGTCAGGAGTGATCCTAGGGGCGACGACTAAGGTGCGAGTTGATCTTCTGTCGAGGGTGCTCTCCGGGGCAGTCGCCTTTGGACTTCTGGCCGTGGGGTGCTCCTCGAGCCGCGGGCCGTTGAACAAAATGGCGAGAAACTGCTGCGATCCTTGGTGAAGAGTGGCTGCGGCTCCGATCGGGATGCTGTTGAAAGTGCTCCTTTTGGCAAGTGCTGCCGGGCCAAACTTTGAAAAATTGCCGCGACTCAAGCGCTGAGCAAAAACTAGTTTGACGAAGATGTGGGAAAGTCTTACTGTTTGACTCACGATTCCACGAACCACTTAGTGATTCAGTGAACACTCGAAGGTTATTCAAAGAAGAACGTGCAGTGTGGCAAACTTCATAAAAATTCAAACTTCAAATAAACTCAAACTTCATCGATATGTGTAACGGCGCCTGTAGTGACTAACAGAAAGCTCAGCCTCAAAGTATGCTACGTTTAACGTGATGAACCAAGCCTTGCCACCCAGCCTTAATCTTGGTTGCCGTAGGTCAAACAGCTGATTCAGGGTTGCACTGCGTCGGTATTTTTCCAGAAATACTAAGCAGCTGATGATGCAGCTTTCCAGTGCATATTTTGAGGCTGAGCTTTCTGTTAGTCACTAGAGGCGCCGTTACACATATCGATGAAGTTTGAGTTTATTTGAAGTTTGAATTTTTATGAAGTTTGCCATTAACTAACATGAAGTAAGGAGCGATATAATGGACATCTGAAATAAACCGGTGTTAATTCGAATTGACTGTCTCATTCCGTAAGCCTCCCTAACTCTGTGTACAAGTTTTATTGTGTCGCAATGATGCTGTTTAGGAAGTAATCGACCCCCTTGCATCTTCCCTGAGCTAGCCGATCACGTAGGGATCACAAAATTCTTGTTACAAATTTCAATTTAGGTTTAAAAACAAGCCGTCGACATTATATGTTTTTATGTACTTTTATTGGGCGTAAAAAGTTTACAGGTGTTAAAGGTATTATGTATAAAATTAGTAGACAAATTTGTGTTCTGTAGAATGTATATCTTTCTTTTACCGGTAGGATTTTTATGAATCCTAATTAACACACCAATTGTATGCGTTGTTAAACATAATCTGCCAAGGACTCTCAGCCTGTTTGGGGGAAACTTCGAAAGAAGGTGGAACATATGGCCACTGGTTCATAGCCGAGCAACGCTCTGGGTGCGGCATTAAACCCAAATGACGTCCATCAGTCGAGCAAAGTCCAGCAATTCCCCTAGGGCTGCCGTTCGGATTAAGTGGATAGAGTTCAGTGGGCTCGCCTGTATCATCAACATATTTCAGTGTCACCAACTCAGCCGACTGCAGTACGCTTATGAGCTTCTCCTCTCGGAATGCAAATCGACCTTCTCCGTGAGCCACCCAACAGCCTAGAATTAGATCTTTCATGCTTCGGAGCATGACAGAGCGATTCGATGGAATTTTCACTGTTGCCCAGCGGCACTCGAATCGCTCTGATCGGTTGTGGAGTAGGGCCACATCGGGATCTACACCAACCTCGCTGCCTGGACATCCTACAAATCCAATAAGAGTCATCAGTTGGCAACCATTGCAAATGCCCAACGAGAAAACATCTTCTCTGCGCTTGAAGGCCTGAAATTGTGGTAAAAGGATGGAGTTGTGGAGAATGTTGGCTGCCCAGCCCTTGGCCGATCCTAGAGTGTCCGCATAGCTGAAGCCACCCAGGAAGATCAGTCCCCTATATTGGGACACGCTCGCGGTTCCTGAAACATTAAATTGGTAAATTAGTAAAGCCTTGAAATGCGGTAATTCCTTAACTCATCATTGCTCAAAATCATCATTCAGTCGACTGTGACGCCTGCAGAGCCAACTGCAACATCCGAAGAGTCATCGCTCTCACCAACCCTCTTTCTCGACCTATCTCTCTAAAACAGCACTCCCCCATCGTAAGACAGGGACCGTGTTCCAACAAGAAAAATTCTAACCGTCCCTACAGTTCCACAATTCAGCACAAGCAGCAATTCATCACGAAGTCGACTGCGAAGTCTTCAGAGCAGCCTGCGACGACGGCAAAGTCGAACGCAACGGCGGCAAAGCCGATTGAAAGATTAAATAAATTCTTCAGTAAAAATAAGAGGATTAGCTTCTATAGATTATGTGAATCATACTCAACTTAACTAAAGACATTACAATCATATTGGTATTTCTGTTAAATGTTTTTCCCATTTGGTTTGAAGAATTCTCGGCATTAATTTTTTTATTAGTTCAAGTAGAGCAAGAGAAAATGACAAGTCCATTTCGTTTGGGATATGTGAAAATATCGCATGTTTGTGTTAAAATCAGTCTCGATCATGCTTTCGTGGAGTGCAGACGCGTTTTTGCATTGCTGCGAAATTCTTTGTGAAGATTCTATGGACAAGTCCACCTTCGTGGCAAATCAATTTGTTTTTGTAAACCCGGCAGCTAAAGCTGCAGGGACAGTGCTCAGACTCTCCGTTTGCTCTGGTGAATCGCGAAAACAAGTGAAACAGAGACCTAAAGGCAACAGTTGCAATTTGTTGATCTGGCAAATCACCGCTACTTCGAATTCAAATTCGAATTCAAATTATTCATAAACTCAATAAAATAAAATTTAACAAAAATACAGGCATCCGCTCCCGGTGCCTCCCGGCTGCAAGGTGCACACCTTGCCCACTAGGCTACGACTGCTTTCGTGGAACCTACTCTAAGTGGGTTTGTCTACTGGAAGTCGGTAAAGCAGTACAAAGCAGTGCACAGCTTCCAATATGCCTACAATGTCGGACTCCGAATCCGAACTCGACATCCATGCAAAGGTGGTTAAGGCGCAACAGACTATGACTAATTCTCTTAATTCCTCGTTACAAAAATTTAGCAGCATTTATAAAGCCAGTTCTATCAACGCCCAGCCTTTACCATCTAATGACATTGAACCCGAGCTAGAAGCCATAGCCGGCGACGATGAAGACTGGTGGACCCCAAGGAACAACAAACGCCGTCCAGAGTCCAGGTCTCCCAATTCTGCTAATAAAGTGTCCCAAAACCACTGAGTCCGCCAACCGATTTGCTGACCTTTGGGACATGGACACAACCGAAGAATATTTACAATCTTACCAAACGATCAGCCAGTTGGTTAACAACCCTGATTATGCCAGTACCAGCACAGGCTTAAGCCACGGCAGCTCCGGTAACAACAACAACGTCGAACGCAACAGAAGTCAATCCAACAACAACACTATCAACAATGCTACTAGCAAACACCCACCCAATCACAAGCCACCGCCGATTGTAATCAATAACTGCGAGAATCTGAACGGGCTTATTCGATCCATAGATAAAACCGTACACCCGTCTAAATACTCCGTAAAATGTCATTCCAACAATTCTGTTTCGATCCTTTCTGTAGATTCAGACGCGTATAGAGCAATCAGTAAATATTTGATTGCAAAAAAGGTCCCGTTCCACTCCTGGCAGCTTAAAGAGGACAGATCTTATCGCGTGGTTATTCGAGGTGTTCATCACTCCACTCCGGACGAACACATCAAAGAAAGCCTTACCTTGCTTGGCCATAATGTTCGCTTTATCAATAGACCAAAAAGCCGTTTCGACAAATCAAAGTTCGTCAACCTAGTGTTTGTTGAACTAGAGCCATCTCCAACCAACAAGGAAATCCACGAAGTTAAGACCCTATGTCGCCAGCGTGTTCAAGTGGAATTACCGTACAAAAAGGTTGATGTCGTACAATGCCATCGTTGACTTCCACCATACAAAAAACAACTGCTTTCTGGATCATAACTGTGTGAGATGTGGTCAGAAACATGCCATAGAGGCCTGCGAACGTGATATTCATCCTGTTAAATGTGTTAATTGTGGTGAAAATCACACAGCAAACTACAAGGGCTGTGTTGTCTACCAGCAGACAGTAAGACGCCGAAAAAATCTTTCATCCCAGGGTAACGCTCTTCCCCAAAAAACCTCTACCAAAAGGACTACTGTTCGATCGGATGTCGTGGGAGCTCTGTCTTACGCAAATGTCACCAATGGTCATTCTCGTCACCAAAACCAACAGGGTGGCCGATCCCAGTTGCAGCAGCCTGCGAACCTGCACCAGAACCAATTCCCTCCACTGGGAACCAGCAATAGGAGACCTAACCAGCAACATAAGCCAAATGACCTCCCTCGGTTACGGACACAAACCATACAGACGACAGACCAACAACAATACCCAGAGACCCGCCATCAGCAGCAGCAGTCCTTCCAGCAACAACATCAACGAAATCACGAGCAATTCCAGAACGATCAGCAATGGAAACGACAAGAACAAATGTATCTACGATCTGAAGAACAACTGTCTGACCTTGTTGCTCGGTTTGACAAAATGCTTCAGATGATGATGTCAATGATGTCCCTTATCACCAACCTTTTACCACAAATAGCGCCAGGATCTGCTCAAGCAGGCGCTGGTCTCCACTCTGCTTTTACAGCCCGACCATGAGTCAAATTGGACTCAAAATCGGTGTGTGGAACGCCGACGGCTTGGCCAACAAGTCACTCGAGATGGAGCTTTTTGTAAAACAACATCATATCGACGTTTTGTTGGTCAGCGAAACTCATTTCTGCTCTAGATCATACTACCAGCTAAGGGGATATGACGTACATCTTTCAAACCATCCTGCTGATCGCCATCGCGGAGGATCCGCAATTATCATCAAATCGTGCCTTAAATACTACCAATTTTTATGTATAGAACACCAAACGGCTCAGTGTGTTGCGATTTAAGTCAGGACTGACCAAGGGGAAATCGTCATTGCATCTATATGTTGTCCTCCAAATTCGCCTCTTACAGCTAACCAATACGAAGAGCTTCTTAGTGAGCTTGGGCCAAATTTTATAATTGCAGGGGACTGGAATGCGCATCATCGTCTCTGGGGATCACGTAACTCTACAATTCGGGGCAGAACTCTAGCGGATATTGTACTCGCATCTCATATGCAGGTTCTTGCTACCGGAGGGCCTACACATTACCCGTACAGCCAACGCATGCCATCAGCCATAGACTTTGCCATTTACAAAGGAATTGGTTCTGATTTTCTAAGCATCTCTGAAATTGTTGAACTAAGTTCGGATCACATCCCACTAATAATACACTACAGAGTTTCCGCCTGTAAGCTTTCCCGCAAGACGTTCGTCCTGCCCCTGAATGCAAATATCCCACAGTTTCAGGAAGCGATTAACGGCTTAGTTAACCTTAACATGCAGCTGAACACTCCTGATGAAATTGACGATGCAACTGAAGTGTTTGTGCGAAATATTCACATCGCTGCCGAATCATCAACCTGCGGCCAAAGACCAAACAGCCCATCTGATCCACCTCATGCCCTTTTAAAACCTGAGGTCCTGGATTTGGTGAGGCTTAAAAGGACGTTGCGCCGCAGATTTATGCGTTCTCGAGACCCTGCTGACAAAAGAGAATATCGTCGTGCTGAGGACGATCTTAAGAAACTTTTGCTGAGAACGAAGAGTGAATACTTT